AGACACCTGGACTTTGCAGCCACGTCCTTGCAAGTCAAGGTTAAGCAAAATAGTTTGTTCTAACACATCTTAGCAGATCCAAGAAGCCAAGTTATTTTGCTAAATACAGAAGTTCATTTATAGTTCATACAGCTCCATGAGAACTTTTAACTAAGGGTGAAGTCCCACTCTTCATACCCGTTAGGCCGGTTAGGATAGGGTTTCACCCTCTCCCTTCCCTAAGACCCTGGGGAAGAAATGGGAAACCACCCTACAGTCTTGCCTTTCAGGGAGCCCACCAGGATGCCCTGGCCATCCTGGGGATGTGGATTCAAAGCTAGGCAGGCTAGAGGAGGCTGGATCAACTCATACAGGCACAGGTGGTTGTTGCCAGGTGCTGTCGAGTCGGTGCTGACCCATGGTGACTGTCTTAGGCCGGGTTCTCTGGAGAAACAAAACCAGGATACGTATGAAGATATATATGGAGAGATTTATACAGCACGAAGGAACAAAGCAGCTAATTAGTCCATGCAGCAGTACAGAGGGCTCAGTTCAACTCACTTCTGTGGAACAGTTAATATACTGGAAGTCCTTCAATTCACGGGGGCTGCTGGGTCCAAGGTCAAGGAAGCTGACAGTAGAGTCCTCCCAATGTAGGCAGAGTCTGCCCACAGGCAGCAAACAGCAGGGCAGGTCACCAACAGTCAGCAGCTCAGCTTAGCAATATCCCAGATGGGATATTGAACTCAAGCATTGCAAGAAGACAGGATCCACCAGCCTCAAGCTCAAGCGATGTACACATCAACAGCATGGTGAAGCAGGTCTCGAAGGAACCTCAAGCTCTAGCAACATGATTCATGGGTTGGCTGACCCACAGGTAGTGTAGCTCACAAGTTGAGGCAGAGAACTAAAGCAGCTTCACGCTCGTCCAATCACTAGAGAGCAAGAGAGAGAGGGGTGGGCGTTGCCGAGCCATTTATCTCTTTGCTCAATAGTCAAACTGCGACCTGAATAATTCCACATGTTCCTATTGCCCAGGTTTCACAATAAACATACCTATCACAGTGACCCTTTGTACAACAAAGCAAAACACCACCTGATCCTGTGCCATCCTCAATGGTTATGTTTGAGCCCATGGTTTCAGCCATGGTGTCAATCTAGCTGGTCGAAGGCTTGCCTCTTTTTCACGCCCCGCCACTTTACTAAGCATGATGCCCTTCACCAGGGACTGGTCTCTCCTGACAGTATGTCTAGTCTTCACATCCTTGCCTCTAAGGAGCGTCCTGCCTGTACTTTTTCCAAGACAGATTTCTTGGTTCTTTTGGCAGTCCATGGTACTTTCATTATTCCTCGCCAGCCCCATAGTCCAAATGCGGGATTCTTCTTTCTTATTCAACTTGCACATGCATAGGAGGGAACTGAAAAATACCATGGCTTGGAGCAGGTGCACCTGAGTCCTCAAAGTAACATCTTGCTCTTCAACACTTTAAAGAGCTCTTGTGCAGCAGATATATCTATCCGGCTGTATGTAGATATCTAGATGTTAGTAGCTCTGTTTTAGAAAGCCCTGGTGGCGTAGCGGTTATGTGTTGGGCTGCTAACTGCAAGGGCAGCCATTGGAAACCAACAGTCGCTTAGCGGGGGTGGAAAAGATGGGGCTTTCTACTCCCATACAGAGTTCTGGTCTCAGAAACTCACAAGGGCAGCTCTACTCTGTCCTAGAGGGTCACTATGAGCCAGCATTGACTCAATGGCAGCACATTTGTTTTTGTTTGTGTGTTACAAAGATCTCACCAACAAGAAGACAAGCAATCTAGGTAGAAAGCAAATGTTTTGAGAATGATGAGGGCAACAAATGTACAAATGTGCTTGACATACAACGCATGTGTATATATGGATTGTGATAAGAGTTGTATGGGCCCCCAATAAAATAATTAAAAAAAAAAATCAACTCGTGAAAAAAAAAGAAATTTTTTACAACTTAAAAAAAAAAAAAGACAAGCAATCAAAACATAGGCAAAAGACATGACCAGACGTCACCAAAAGGCATTCGGGAGCTGGCACACACCGAGAATGAAGCAGAGCTGTTGGAGGGACAAGAAAAAGAAATTGCCAGACTCGAGACAATGAATGCCGATGGTGTATTTTCTCCATTATATGAGCGTTTCCATCATTTCACCATGGATCCATGTAAAATATAAAAACGGTGAGTCGGGTCTCTTACGTGATGTTTGGGGCGCTAAGCCTTTGCATTTGGGTGTGTGCATAGTTCACTTGCGTCCCATTTCAACTCAGGTTACACACTTTGGGTGCCACGAGACCTGAATAGTACACCCTTCGTCTGGGCGGGGAGTGCAAACAGTTCATGATCTTTCTCTCCTGTCCACCTAGTCGTCCTGTGGTGCCTCCACTGATCCCCCCAAAGATCCCGGAAGGGGAGCGCGTAGACTTCGATGTAAGTAGTGGCTAATCCCACCGCCACGTGCTGCGACAAGTTTGTAGGAGGCCTTGGTGTAAATAGTTGCCAGTAGTTAGTTCACTGGTCTCAGAGCAAGGAGCGTGGCCGCCCCCTGCTGTCAGGACACCGCCATAACAGACGGACCGCACATCCACTCCTGGGAGAAGCGCACGCGGGAGGCCTGGCGTCTGGTCGAGCCGCCCAGAGGCCTTCGCTTTCTGCCAGGCGCTGCCCTGAGAATAAATGACCCTCTGTCCCGCAGGACATCCACCGGAAGCGCATGGAGAAAGATCTGCTCGAGCTGCAGACGCTCATCGACGTGCATTTTGAGCAGCGGAAGAAAGAGGAAGAGGAGCTGATTGCCCTGAAAGATCGCATTGTGAGTCCGGAGGAGTTGGGGTGGGTGGGTGGGGGGGGGGTGTCCCCTAGCGTCTTTCCTCGCCCCCCGTGTTTGCTTATGGGGTCTGGGAATGTCATCTCCCTTCCAGGAGCGGCGTCGAGCGGAGAGAGCTGAGCAACAGCGCTTCAGAACGGAGAAGGAGCGGGAGCGGCAGGCCAAGCTGGCGGTGGGTACCACGCTTCCAACTCCCCGGGAGCCCAAATGCTCCTTTGACTCTGGTTGGATGCTCGGTTTTCCTATTTGTGGATTTCTCTGTGATCTGGGGGTTGGGTGGGAAGTCTCCATTCTGTATTTGTCAAGAATCTTACTGTTGGTCCCTCTTAGAAGGGCTGACTCACAGAATGGAGGATGAATCAGGGTGCAGTGCGGCACTGATGTACCGCAGAGCAATCAATCCTGTAGTTCTTTGAGATTCCCTCTGTTACTAGTATTAATGTCCGTTCGTGACAGACCTCATTAGTCATGTTAGACTTGTGCATGTTTATTTGTACATTTAAAATCTCTGGGTACATGGTAGTCAAGATAGGTGACCCCTCAGAGACAGTAACAGGAGTAATGGTTCCCTGAGGGTAAGGGAAGTAGAGGTGGGTGGAAAGGGTGGGAGATGGGAGTTCATAGCAGCACTGATGATTTTATAGCCCCACCCGCTGGGATCCATCAACAGAACTGTATGGGAAAGGAAGGGATATATTGGAATGAGTCAGCTATGTCAACCAAAAAAATATATTTTTAAAAGTGGAAATAACCTTTAAAAAAACCCTTTCTGTTGGAAGAGACATAAATCCCAATCCAAACAGATTAAGAAAAAAAAATAGGTTGATTCATATAATTACGTGTGTAGGGCTTTGGCTAGCTTCAGGTATGGTTGGATCTGGGGCCTCTAAGATCACAGAGACCTAGCCTTTTCTCTTTCCAACCCTTTGTCCATCTTTCTCTGGACAGTCAGGAGACCAGCTTGCTCTGATTGGCCCTGGGTTTTCCTGGTTTGGGCACTGAGAATCCCCACTGGACGCACCCATGACCACCAAGGTTTGGGTCTTGGAAATAGCAAGGTGGCAGCCAACACCTTGGTCTAACTGCTTTGTTTTCTTTTTTTAAGTGATCTTTTGTTGTGCTTCGGTGGCAGTTTACCCAGTCCCACTTCCCGGTGGACAGTTTCTACACAAACGGTGATCGTGGTCACAGCGTTCATCATGTGTCGTTCTCATTCGCTCCATTCTGCTAGTGGGTGGTCAGCGCCCTGCTTCCCTGGCCTCTATCATCTAGCTCATCTCTGCTTGAGAGACCCTCTGGTCTCATAGAGGCCATCTGTCACAGGAGCTCACGCCTCGTTTTATTTAATTACTATTATTATTACTCATTGTCTGAGCCAGCTGATCACAAAAATCATCTAATAGCTACTAGCCACCTCTTTGTCTCCTGCACAAATCCTGGAATACACTCCGTTTATTCCTGTGGCCTTGCGAAACGGAGCGCTGGCTAGCTGGGGAAGGGTGGTTAGAATGTTTTGAACGGTGTAGGCCTTAGAAGCATGTTCTACATTGGCAATGACAAGTGGAGCCCCCGCCCCCACCCCCACCCTTGAACTACTTGTAAAGACTAGGGGGAGGATGGTGTGGGTTATGTGACCAGTCTCCCAAAGGTGCTCATCTCCTCATCCATAGGCTGGACCAGGATGGAACCTGATGTGCCAAAGGGGCCTTTGCAGACGGGCATGGGCTAAAGCCAAGGAGCTTGAGAGGGGGAGATGATCAGGGGGGCTAGAGCATCAGGCAGAGAGGGTCGGAGGCAGAGAGAGATTTTAAGATGCTACATGGATGGCCTGGGGGGTAGAGGACGGGATCGCCAGGGAAGAAGGCAGGTGGCTTCTGTTAGGCGCTGTCGGGTCAGGTCAGACTCGTGGGGAGTCTGTGTCCAACAGATGGACACGCTGCCCGGTCCCGCAGCGTCCACACGATTGGGGTTGTGTTTGAGCCCCTTGTTGTAGCCCCGGTGCTCCTCAGGGAGCCCCTTCCTCTTTTGAGCTGCTCCTCCGTTTCACCAAGCATGGTGTCCTTCTCCAGAGACCATGGTCTCTTTCTTGATAACATGTCCCGAGTGTGTGAGCTGAAGTCTTACCATCCTCATTTCTAAGTGACCGCTCGCCAGGACACCTTCCGAGGCAGATTCCTTTGTGCTGGTCGTCCAAGGTCATAGGTGCTATTCTGCGCCAATGGCGGAATCCGTAGGCATCCAGTCTTTTTTAGGGCTCCTGATTCACAGCTCAGCCTTCGTGTGTACATGAGGGGATCGGAAATACCATGGTGGGGTCAGGTGCTGTTTAGGTCTCAATGTGACATCTGGGCCTTTTTTTTCTTTCCCTTTTTAAGGAAAAAACACTTCAAAATGTTAGATGACCTCTTAGACTAGACACGGCAAGGAAAGGGATTCTACTCTCGATTCTTCAAAAGGGGCCGTAACCCTGCTGATATCTTGATGTCACTCACAAGGGACCTCTTTCTGATTTCCGGGCCCTAGAACTGGCTAGGACAACACGTCTCTGTTATTTTAAGCCACTTTTCTTGTAACTTGGAGCAACAATATGGATACAAATGGAGATGTAAGGCTAGGCATACAAAGAGCCGTTGTGGCCTCCCTGCCCTGGATTAAGCCATTGTTTCTGGAATTTCTAATGCAGACTTTTACACCATCACAATGTCTTCACTGGAGAGTCTGGGCTCCAGACCATGAGCCTCCTTAGTACCCCACGCCCCCTTCCATCACCCATCACCCTCCGTGACCCTGTGAGCATAGTCACTCTTAGCTTATGGATGGGACACGGAGACCCACCAAGGTCACACCGCAAAGTTCACCAGGGGCCATTTCAAGCCAGGGACGTAGAAGAAACAAGCAAGGGCCAATGCCACTCCCACATCTTAAGCTTTGTTTGGGGAGATAGTCAGGTCCAGAGAGGGGAAGGGACTTGCAGGAGGTCCCACAGCAGGGCCAAGAGCCAGACTGGTAGCTCCTGCACCTTGGCCAGTTCCACGGGGTTCTGGTATTGGCCTTGGCTTTGGGCACCCCTCTCAGCATGGCATGGAGCTCCTTTGGAAGAACCCCCCCCCCCCACTCCCCAATCCTGGGGGGGGAGATTGCTCATGGTTAACCCTTCTCTTTCCACAGGAGGAAAAGATGCGCAAAGAAGAAGAAGAGGCCAAGAAGAGAGCAGAGGACGATGCTAAAAAGAAGAAGGTTCTGTCCAACATGGGGGCCCACTTTGGGGGTTACCTGGTCAAGGTGAGTTA